AGGTACATTTCAACCTTCTTTTTAATATTTTATAAGTATTTTTCAAATTCTGCGCGCTATTATTGTGAACTTTTTACGAAATGTGTTACGTAAGAACTAATTATTAATTTTATAATACAAAAGTAATACAAACACTAGGTAAATAGATAGGTCTATATTAATAGATAGATACAGATAATTTTTAGCTCCAATAAGTGTAATTTTATTTAAAGCATGAACTTATAATTTTTAAAATCGGAAAACAACTAATGAAATAATCTTAATTTCATTGTACTTCACATTGTAAAATATATTTATAGTATTTTAAAATCAGAAAACAACCAATGCAATAAGTTAAATTAAGTAAATTAAGTTATCTCCGTCATGTGCAAATTTTGATTGTACATACCTTTTGTCTGGGGATTAACATGTTGTAGCAAATATTTGTAATAATTTGATTTTGTTTGAAACTAATCTTTCTTTTTTGTTAAACAAATTAAATCAAATTTCTAGTTAATTAAATTGAATCTATTTCAGAAGTGTTAAATTATAAATATTCCATTTCCTTTCGGGATCCTAATTAAGAGAAATAAAAACTTTTACTCACTTCTTTAAGTGTTGAAAGAATGTAAAACAATTACGAGAAATTGCATCAAACAACAAAAATTTCTAACTTATTTCCTTGCTTTAAATTATTTTTGAAAACTAAAATAATTGAAATATCTTAGCACTTAATATATTATTAAACCTTTTTTATCAACGTCTCACAGTAGCTATCAATTGTTTGCAATTGAAATAATTCGTTAATTAATACTGTTAATTAACTATTTTTTTGTGTATTTTTTTGTTTTGTTTTTGCTTCTGAAACATAATGTTACTAATTCCTAAAATTATATTTAATTGGTAAATGCAATTTTCTAACTTGGAAGTTATTAGCGTTTTTTACTCAAGTACAAGACATAAATATGTTTACATAATCCTCTTAATTAAGTAAAGAAGCTTCTTTGATAATTTTTAATTATTTTCGTATGCAACTACCTTTTATTTCATCTCCCTTATCCTGCGTGATCAAAATATATACGTCTAATTTTTTTATTAAAACTACCTCTTATTTAATCTTCCTCAACCTGATTGATCAAAACATATGCATGTTAACAACATTTAATTAACATGGAAATAAATGACTCAATCAATAAGAATAATATTTAATTTTCTAACTGTTACCTTCGTTTAATAAATGTTGTTATATACATGCGTTTTATATAATATAAATTGAATAAAATTGTCATATTTGTTATCCCATGCAAACAAGGTGGTTGATAATTCTCTCCAGTATTATAGAAGTGAATAATAAAAACCTGAGAATAAATTATTCTAATTACTGAAAAGGTTGAAAGTTTTTTAATACCCTTAAATTCGTTATATGTGTGATATTCGTTATAGTCATGTAGTATACCACAATGTGACAGTCCAGTTTCTGCTAATCTACGTAGTTAGAAATTTCTCGGAAAAAATGGTTAAATAACAATTTATTGAATGGTTATTTTACCATATTTGATCAAAACAGTCAAATTACCATAAATAAAATGGTAATCAAACTGTTAAGTTTGAGAAAAACTGCTTATTGACTGCGTTCACCTAATATGGTTAAACAACCAGAATTTTATCTCACCTATTAGAACCACCTAATGAAGCTACTTAGTTCTATGCAACTGCGAACATATCATAGCCGAGTGGGCTTATCTGTCAATCTCATAGCAGGCAGAACCGGAGTTCGAGTCCTAGTGGTGACACCACAATATTTCTACAATTTCCTTCACCACATGGAGAATTTCCAGTGTCCGGCACTCTCTAATTACCATTGTCTTACGAAAAACCGACCTCCTATGTCTAGTTAGATAATTGTTTTTTTTTAATGTTTTTGAAAAATGCTAGTTGTAAATGGTTAAAAAAACCGTACAGTTTTATATTCATCGTTTTATAACCATACTTTTTGTAAATGGTTTTAAAACCATAAAGGAAAAAAATCTTCTTTACCGTAGACTTTACGGTTAATCGGATGGACTGACAGCTGCCAGTTATTTTACCATAATTTTAGAATGAAAATTTTAACAGTGTATGCGATGCTCCTATAAAACCAATCATATTGCATGATAAGCATAGATACTACAATATTGTATAACCAGCATATATTCTAGCATACTGAATAATAAGCGTACTACTGCGTAATACTGTTTAACAATTTATATGATTTTTTAATGCAGTTCTGTTGAGACCGTTGGCGATCAATTATAGGTTTCTTCGATAGCATGGTCACAAAGTTCCACAATCACTATTAAACTTCATGAAGCACAATTTTCTCCTTTTAGATAAAATGAAACCTATTTGTTTGGATATGTAACTTGTTACAATTTGTAATGGCCAAGTATTTCTTTAAAAATATTTTTACTTTTGTAAATAGCATACTTAACTTTTAGTGTTTCTTAAGCATCAGAAAGATCAATTGGTCAAAAATAAGTAAAATGCATTTTTGAAAAACGTCATCTAAAATAAACACAAATAACTGAAAAATCTACTTACCGTCCCATAAATTTTTATTAATATAATAAATTGTAGTATGCATAAAATTGCAAACGTTCTAGCAAAGAATAACGGCGTGTGTGTTAGTTATTTTTAACTTTTTTAAAAATATTTTCTCTTGGCCTAAATGAATTAAAAAAGACTGCTTTGTTCATTTTTTATAATGAGTTCAGTTTTTTTTCTTTGAGATTTCTTTTTAAATAGAGCTTTTACAAATTAAGTTCAATAGAAAAGGTTTATTTACAAAAAAAAAGTAGTTATGCAAAATAAATTAGATATCGTCTGCTGAAGTAGTTTTAGAATAAAATAGATTTTCAAACGCTAAGAAGTAATCTTTTTTCCCCATCTCTGAACCACTATTCTGAGCATCCATAGAATGAGAAAGCTTAGAAAACTTCTTAAAATTTCTATTTAAAAATTTAATAGAATAGATTGTCTAAAGTAAGCTAAATTTTGCTATCAAAGAAATAAAAAGTTTTTATTTTTTATTTTTAGCTGAATTCTCCTAAACAATTTCAAGTTTGCTTTTATTTCAGCATTATTTTCTGAAAATATTCTTCTTAAAATATCTCGTAATAAATAATAAAGTATGTAGTTAAAAATAATTTGATTTTTATGCTTCCGTTTATTATCAGTTTTACTTAATTCATTCATTTGAATATTTATTTTGTAATACAAGTTACAAATTAGGAAGCTGCTATATTAAAATAGGACCAATTACCACCCACATTCATTTGATATCACGGGAAACATTCTCAGAAATTTTTACACTGTACAAACTGCTCAATTTATACATTTCAATTTATTTCAGTTTTTACACTGTTCAATTTATAGAAATAAAAATTTGTTAGCTGGCATGCCAGTAAAAAACCATTTATTTTACAGATAATTACTGTTAGTTATAAACAGACGAATGATTTTTAAAAGGATAAGTTTGGTTATTTTAAGAAAAATAATTAATAATTAATAATTAATAATTAATAATTAATAATTTATAATTAATTTCTTTTATTTTTACAAAATAATTTTTTTTTATAAAATAAAAAATTCTATAAAATTGAAAATTCAGCGAAATGGCCGGTGACGGCAGAATTCGCACAACCAGTCAGCCCCAAATTTCGATCCCGAGTTACCTCATTTAAAGGTGAGCACTCAGTCTTCTGAGTCACGGTTGTCCAGATGTTTGGATGTGAAGTTTGTGCGGTTAACTGTCTCTATCTTAAGAGGACGCCATGCCACGCGAGAAACTTTTCGTAGCAAATTCGTTTTACTTCCGTAACTAATATAAAATTTAAACAATAGAAAGAGAATTCAGACAAGCATATGAAGTTCAAATACTGAAAATAAATATTTAATATATATTGAGGAAAATAAATTATGATGTTTACTTATCATTATATAATGGTGAAGTTCTTTTCCAATAATTTGTTTTTATTTTAAAAATTTTCTTTTTTTTATTTATTTATTTATTTATTTATTTTTAAGCAAATGAAACTTCATAACTTACTCTAGGTTAGACTGAACTTACTTTTTCTTTCTTTCAAGCTAATTTTGAATTAGTATTGGAGGTAAAAGAAAATTTGCTACCAAAAGCTCCTTAAAAAGCTGCATCACAAAAGCTTTACTTATTAAAGTTATATTTGAGTGTAGAAACTTTTAAAAAAATTCTATTGACCCACTCTTATAAAAATAAAAATAAAAATTACGTCTAAAGACAGATAATAATCAGATAGAGTATAGATTTGGCGATGAATTCGAATTACAATTCTATATACGATGTTTAAAACCATTAAATAATATCTGAAAAATAAGATCAATTATTTCGATCTTTCCTTTGTGGAAGAAGCTGCAGAGTTGAATTCGGAAGTGGAAATTCGAGAAGCTTTAATCTCCGTACTGGTCTCCCACAGGGAGCTGTTACCAGCTGCACCCTTTTCAACGTCTACATCAAGGACTTGACAAACACCTTAACGGCAGTGCATAACATTCATTGCCTCCTATATGCGGATGATCTTGTTTTATGGATCACAACATCAAAGCGCCACGCTACACCAATTGTTGAGACCACACTCAATCCTGCACTGGAATCCCTCAGTCGTTGGTGTGAGGAAACTAATATGGTAGTAAATCTGTACACTCGTAAATAAATGTGCCACTCAAACTTTCTCACTAATGCATCACCGACCTACTATACCAAATCTCTCTTTTTCTGGCACTACGCTTGAAAATGTTGATTCCTTCACTTATCTCGGAACCGTTTTTGATTCTAAACTGAGCTGGAGAAACCATGTTACGTTTGTTGCCGAAAGGGTAATAAGACACCTCCCTATTTTAAAACGACTTGCTGGCACTCTCTGAGGATGTGACCGGTCTACCCTCGCTCTGACTTATCAAAATATGTCCTTCCAATTTTTATTTACTGCTCTGAACCACTCATCTCTATGCCTACATGCCTACTTCAAAAGCTTGAAGTTTTGCAAAACCAGGCCCTTAGACTAATAACAGGTGATGTAAAAACTACACGTATAGATGCAATGATCTTGCTGACAGGCATTAAACCTTTGGATATTGTCCTTAGGGAAAGGGCTGTCTTACTATACTTTAAACTTACCCAAATGGATAATTTCTGGACTAACTATCAACTTACCCCTCGTAGTTTAAAAACTCAAAATGGATTTATTCAGACCATCAATGATCATTTGGTTGGGATCGATCCGCTCCAACTAGAGGGTCAGCTGGAACTGGTGAGCCCTCTTGACTACCAAAAAATTAATGCCAGGCTCTCTCTTGAGCAGGACATTGTCAAAAGTGAAACGTCTACCGCTGCTCTCCACCTTCTTGTGCTGGAGACAATGGGAATCCGTTACCCGGAACCGCTCCGACTGAGAGTTTTTACAGATGGCTCTTTCGATCCGGATCAACCAAATGCTGGATCTGGTATCTTTTGTAATCTCTTCTCCTTTGGTTCCCCAGTGGGTGCCAATAAATCTGCTTTTGACGGGGAAGTTGTTGCTATCCGTATTGCTCTCGAACAGCTTTTTTGTTTTATTGAGTCTTTTTCAAATGAGGTTATCCTTTCAGACTGGAAGGCGGTGCTTTGTCGATTGAATATATGCATTGGTCTTCCACTTGCGACGTTCTAAAATGTCAGGATGCTGATACATAAACTCCACCAATTTGGTAAAACTGTAGCCCTACAATGGATTCCTGGGCACTGTGATATTGCAGGAAATGAGAGGGCTGATATTTTGGCAAAGAGAGGTACAAGAATTCTCCAGGTTCTTAGTAGCACAGTCCCATTTTCAACCTTAAAAGGGATTGTTAGATCAAAAATCGATGGGGATTTCCATCACCAATTATCAGAAAGGGCAAAAACCAAAGTGTGGAGAGATCTTCGACCGAACACCATTCCAGACTGGCCGCTCCGCGAGGCGGTGGCTCAGATTCGACTATATACCGGACATGACTGACTAGCCGCGCACCTGTTTCGTTTAGGGCTGGCACCTGATTCCTATTGTTATCGTCGTCTACCGAGCGATATTGGGAAGCACGAGCGCTCCTGAGGAAATGACGTTTTACTTCCTTGTTTTGTTCCTGTGTTTTTGCTTTTTAACATGTCAATTCACCTCTGTCATTTGAAATAAATCAAGAACAATTACAGAAAATAATCATAAAATCATTTGAAAGAAACTTATTTTATGATAACCAATAGTTTATGTTTAAAACAAGAATTTCAATCGATGGTTCTTATCAATTTATGATTAGGATGAAAAAAATATGTTTTGAGAAAAAAACGCTTTTGATCATCAAATATTCGGAGAAAACCTGTTAAAAATGAGAATTTTATGTAGCGCAAGGAAAAATTATTGAAATAAAATATTTTCAAAAGCATTTAAAAGTGTTTTTATATATTTAGAAATAAATTTGAAAAGCCAGAAAACAAAATAATGGAAAGATATAATCTCTTCATCCGCCCACATGTTTATATTCGCAAAAACTTACAGCTCATGCGCAGTTTTATCAATATATTCTTGTTCCTAGGCCACATAAAACATGATCTTTATAAGCACCCACTGATGCTTATTGACTTCCAGATAGTGTACGATATTTTGGACTTGGAGTCATGGATGGAGTCTGGCAACAACATATTAAGGATATATATTTTTTTTTGTTGCTACATTGAAAGTTTATTATTAAATTGAAAACGCTATACCTTAGGTAAATACTACTTAAAAGATTTTTTTTTGAATTTTAAATCAAATAATTTTCATTCCTGATAATATTTTTTAGTGAAACAGTCCAAACAAAATGTCTCATGTTAAATTTAGTTGCATATGGAAATTTGTTATCCACAAAATTAAATTTTCTATTTTTTCAACAAAGATCATTCAAGAGTTCTATTTTTAGAATTCAAGTGTTTCATAACTCAACACAATTTATTAATTATTCATTCATTCAACACAATTCAAGATAAATAATAATGTTTAATAGAAAAGGGTAGGAGATAACAGCGTCAAGGTTTAACTTGTTTTGGAAATGAAATTCAGACGCGTGAATTTTCAGGTGGCTGATAGTGACAGATTTTATTGAAATGCTTACAAAGTAAAGCAAAGCATGCACTCATTTATATCCAGCATTTCCCTTTTTTGTTGCAATTTTAACTATTGAAAAGGATTTCTTTCTCATTGAGTGATGACATTCTGGGGTTGTTATACTTTTATTTCGTGTTGTTTGACAATGATAGAGATGAAATTTAATATATTTTTGTGTTGTTTGACAATGATAGAGATGAAATTTAATATATTTTGTGTTGTTTGACAATGATAGAGATGAAATTTAATATATTTTTGTGTTGTTTGACAATGATAGAGATGAAATTTAGTATATTTTTGTGTTGTTTGACAATGATAGAGATGAAATTTAATATATTTTTGCGTTGTTTGACGATGATAGAGACGAAATTTAATATATTTTTGTGTTGTTTTACAATGATAGAGATAAAATTTAATATCTAAGGGGTTTTAAGCGCTTTCAATATAAATTTGTAGTAACTGAATCAGATAAGAAATAGAATCTTTTTGTACATGTCTAATTTACAAAGTATTTTGTTCTTCTTGGTATCATGTCTAAAATATTCATAATTATGTGACATACAATAGCCTCGTTAGAAACATTTTTGATTCAGGTTTAGAAGATGTTGACAGTTTTAGCCTGATGAACCAGGAGTTTTAATTAAAGCGGGAAACCATTAGGAGTATAACTTAAATCTTGTTATTTCACTCTATGTCTGCAGAATGATGATTATAATGTAATATTAAAGCTGATGAAGTAAAAATTAAATCAAGAAGTGAAGAAATTCAAATAAGAATTTAAAAAGTGAAAGTTAAATTATGGAGCCAAGTCAGAAACTGAAATAAGATGAACAGAGAAAATTGAAAAAGCTGGATATTATTCTTTCTAAAATGCCCTGAACCCGTGAATTGTACTCTTCGCGACATTTTTCCTAATATATTTCTCAAAAATTTGAAGAATAGTTCGTCTATATATAATCATTGTGTGTTTTAAAAATGGCGAACTATTATTTTATTTCCAATAATAAAATTTTGCAATTTCTTGGAAATATTCATTAGTACTTCGACTAAGTGGATATCATTTTATTCCGACCGAAGATATTTACTGGAACACGGATGAACTTAAAAATGCTTCATGAACTTATATTTATTTTATTATCCTCAAATGCTCTTTAGTAATGAATTTACCGAAATTTATAGTTATTTGTCTTATGTTTCCTCATTTCCAAGTTTATCTGTTAGGAGTTTTAAATTCTTCATAATAAATACTTTCGCTCAATTTTCAATTACATATTTTAAAACAAAAATAACTGTATAGTGATTCTGTATAATGTAGATCATCTAAGTCAAAGAAGAAAAAAAACTTGTATGCCTGGTAATGTATATATATATTATCAAATCTTTTAGTGAGAGCAGTTGTAATATATTACAACTTGCATCTCATTCATATGAACTTTTAATCTTCAATCGTAATTTCTATGAATCCTTTTCTCCTTGATGCCTCAGAACCTATTTAATAATTATATCTTTACTATCTCATACAAGATTGTGTACTTTAGTTTAATACTGCAATTATAGGTAGTTGAAACATAAATATGGAAATTACGAGGAAATGTATACTCATTATGCATTTCTTAATTACTATATAATAGGTAATATGTGAGAAATTTGTGTCTTCGTGTATTTTGCGATATTTATCAAAAACATTCAGGATAATCATACATAGTCATAGAAACTTCTGTGTACACTATTATCTTCACAAACAATGCATGTTCCGCTTAATATGTCACATGATTGATCATCGTAAGATAGGAGTGCGAAAATTAATGCTCATCGAATTAATTAGGAGAATAATGTTTCTACTTAACATTTACCCTTAACTCACAAAATTTAATTAAATCTACGGATAAAATTTATTCAAATAGCTCTTTACTTTCAACAAACTTTAAAATGTCACACTCCGTTCATTTATATTCTAAATTAAATCTCCAAATCAAATTAATCAAGTTGAATTAAGATAAGATAAGAGTTTAAATGACTAAATGCGAAAAAAGTCTATTTGGGTAAGAAGAAAGGTTTTTAAGAGGTGAAATATTTTTTACATTATTAAAAAAAATAGCTCATCTTTATGTTATTTCAAAAGAGATAATAATAAGGAAATTAATGGGTTTAGGGTAGTGGGAGAAGCATGAAATGTTGGAAAATAATTGTAGATTTATTTTAACAATTCCTTTAATAATTAGGCACTTTCCAGTAATAAGGTAATTTATTATCTAAAATAATTTACAAATGAAAAATCTTTTTATCATTATTTATTATCATTTAAATGGAATTACAAAGAATTCTGATGATAAAAATGATAATAATGAATAAATAACTAATTTAAAGGTAAAAAGCTTAGTTAATGGGAGAGGCATGAAACGTTGAAAAACAATTGTAGATTTCTTTTAACAATTTCTTTAATAATGGTATGCTTTGAGTGCAACTTGTTTCGGCTTAAATAAACCTATTTGAAAAATTTTTAGTAAGATTTTTTAATATCCATTTCTATGTTCTTTTAGTTTGACGCTTACTTTTTCATATGAAAATTTTTTCAAAGTATTTCCTTATTGCAAAAAAATTATAGCAAAAATTCGCAAATTCTCTGCTTCTATGATAACTATGTATATGCTTAGACATATAGCTTTTTTCGGATAAAACAAACCTTTTTTAAATTGTTTGATTAATATTTCTTAGCATGTCTTTGCATTTACGTTCAAATTGACTCTCACTTTTCAAATAAAACAATTTCAAACAATTTCCTTTTCAAAAACTGACAAACTCTCTACCTCTATGTTAAATATGTATTTACTTTATGTGTAGCTGGCTTCAGACTAAGCAAATCTTCTTTTAAAAATGTTCTATTTATAATTTTAAGCATGTATTTGTATGGTTTTTATAATTGACGTTCAGTTATTTATATTAAGCACCTTTCAAACGTTTTCCTCAATGCAAAAACTTACAAGAAGTACGCATAAAGGCGGACAGTATGTCTGCCTCTATGTTAACGATGCAAATGTTTTGAGTATAGTTTGTTTCGGTCTAAGAAAAATTTCCTATAAATTTTCTATTTAAAAGTTGTCAAAAATTTCCAAAGCGTAAAAAATTGAAAAATAAATAAATTTGCAAACCGATGTTAACGATGCACGTGTCTCGAGGGTAGCTTGTTTCGGACAAAACAAAACTCTTGAAAAAATTTTCAATTTATATTTTTTAACTTCCATTTGTATGTTCTTCTAATTTGAAGCTCATTTTTTAATATAAAAAAAGATTCAGCGAAAAAGCTTTCAGTGCAAAATTTTTTTAAAAATTCGCAAACCGTCCTCCACTATGTTAGCGATATGAATGCTCTGAGCGTAGCTTGTTTCGGATTTCGGACAGAACAACTCTTTTTTTTTTTTTTTAAAAAAAAGTTCTGTTTATGTTTCTTGACATATATTTGCATTTGTTTAAATTTAAAATTTTTTCCTTTTGATATAAAACAATTATCAAAAAGTTTCCTCATCGTGAAAAAATAATAAAAAATTCACAAA